TTGACTGTCATTGCAGCAATCCTTCTTGGCATCTTCTGGTTTCTTCCTCACCATTGGATAACAGAAATGAGTTATCGCTGTCATTTACCCAGGTTGTTTAGGTGTTTTCTGTACATGCCAGTTACCGGTATATAACCTATTATTTTTTAGCCTGTGTTATTACCAATTAGAAATTTACCCTAAGCAATACGTTTGTCAGTAGTGTCTTCTCATTGTTGGCGATGTCCTTCAGTATACTTTTAGCTTCGTGTCCATATGTAGTTGCAATTGAGAAGAAAATCGCATCGGCTATCAATCAGAGAACTTTTTTACTGAAATGCAGACAACACATGGCCCTGAAGATGATCTCAATAAAGATCGAAACGTTGGCACGATAAAGAAAATGTTTTTCTGAAACCTACATCACACCAGACCGCATCTCACGATTTCTAAATAAATATCGATTAACGATCACTAATCACCACACAAAAAGCCACATACTTCGGCTAGAAAAACATCCAAGGTTAAGAGATTCTCTCATTCTTAACTGGGCAGATTTTCGTCGTAATAAAATGAATCTTCAAAGAAGATTGTTCTTCTTTTAGAACAAGCTCTACAGTGAGCTAAGCTATTGCTTTAAAACTTGTATTATTATGTTTTCTAACGTAGTAAAGTTTTATTATTAGAAGGATCATCACATTAGATATGTAGAAAAACGTTGAAATCTATTTTCATTCAAAAGTGATCCATAAATAAAGAACATAAGTGAATATTAAGTTATGCTATGGGCTTACTAAAAAGACACGTAGGGTTTTGATCGCTTTAACAAGGTGAACGATAGAAATGTATCTCTTAAGGGGCCCTTATTTATTTTCAATTAGGAAAGGGGTGAAATTCCATAAGGTAAACACGGGGGTTGTTATTCATGAAAGGAGTCCGCCCCTCTGTACACGCCGAGGGGAAAAAGGCGAAAGGAATAAAAAAATATAAAAAAACAGACGACTTGATTTCAATATTCGACGTCAATCGGAGTGAACGGGGCAAGCCCATTGTGATACAAGTATCCACCTTTTTATGTCGACCCTTCACGTCCTTTGTTCGCCGTTATGAGAAGGGTGTGCGACCTATGTATCAGCGCGGGGGGAGGGAAACATTATGTATGGTAAACATAGCTTGTCCGAGAAATCTGTTTATATTGAAATTTGAACCGTTACCCGGTTTCGCAGATTAACATCTTGCTTCACCGGCTGTTTACTACGGTACTATCTCGAAATCCTTATCCTATAATGTAGTCCCGTAGAACGATCTTTTGGTGTCATAATAACCTCAGATGCTATAAAAAACGGTCAAGACCTAAAAAAAGAAAATAACTAAGTAACATTGAACTTAATAATCCTTCCAAACTTAACCTTAAGGTTTTTAGTTGAGATAAAAAAGTCAGTGTCACGAGTGGGATTCGAACCCACGATCTTCGGCTAGATACACCGCTGCTCTACAGCTTGAGCTATCTTCACCTCGATCCACTCGGACACTAACTTCCCATCTCAACCTCAATATGGCAAAAATGAGGGAAAATTCAAAAAGTGGAGTTGAGTTGGGAAGATAGTGTCCGAGTGGTTCGAGGTCACGATAGTTCAAGTGGTAGAGCAGCGGCGTATCTAGCCTAAGATCGTGGGTTCGAATCCCGTTCGTCCCACTGACTTTTTTTATCTCAACTTAAAACCTTAATTATTTGAAACATATTAATTGGTCAAGCGGACCACGAAAACTAGTGAAATTATTATATACCCTTATATGTTTAGCGGTCATAACTCATAACCACGTGGGAAACACATTCGATTTTTATATCATCCAAAACCTTACTAAATAGAAAAGAATTTATTTGGTCAAGCGGACCACGAAACCTGATAAAATGTAATAATAAGCAAAATGAAGTACATTTGAAAACTGGCAAAAAGGAGGGAAAATTCAAAAGGTGGGGTTGAGATAGGAAGTTGGTGTCCGAGTGGTCGAAGTCAAGACAGCTCAAGTGGTAGAGCAGCGGCGTATCTAGCCGAAGATCGTGGGTTCGAATCTCGCTTGTGACACTTTTTTTATCTCAACCAAAACCTTAATTAATAGAAAAGAATTTATTTGGCTAAGCGGACCACGAAACCTGATAACATGTAAAAAGCAAAATGAAGTACATTTTAAAATTGGCAAAAAGGAGGGAAAATTCAAAAGGTGGGGTTGAGATGGGAAGTTGGTGTCCGAGTGGGTCGAAGTCAAGACAGCTCAAGTGGTATAGCAGCAGCAAATCTAGTCGAAGATCCTGGGTTCGAATCCCGCTCGTGACACCGACTTTTTTATCTCAACTAAAAACCTTAATTAATTGAAACATATTAATTGGTCCAGCGGAACTAGTGAACTTAACCTTAAGGGCTACGGAAATTTTTAAGTCCGTAGCCGTTATAAAATCCGAAATATTGTACACTTCCAATTCATTTAATTGCAGTACGGATTTATAATTAAACGGCTTGATCAAATTTCCAATTCTGTACAGCCTGTCCAATATCTTTGTTCTTTCATTATCATAATTTTTGCATTTCATTATGAGATGTTCCAGATCTTCCCTTTCTTCGCATACTAAACACTCCGTCTTTGCCCTATTTTCTTAAAATCCGTTCCACTTATTCCATGGTTAGACCTGAGTCTATTCACTGTAGTGGAATCTTTTTTAGACATTGGAAATTTGAGGAACAACGGCCTCCTGCTGATCGTCGGGTTTATATACCGGTAAAATTTACTCAGTGGAGTAAGAGTCTAGTTGCTTGTCCCACGTATCATACTTCTTTTTCAAACCGCCTTTTAACTCCTCTAACTTCAATTTTGCCCTTTTTTCACATATTACCTTGCCTTACTGTCCACAAGCACACTGCTTGGACTTCTCCATGGCCCCTACCAGACAGAAGGTGCATTCGACTTGCCGTTCTATTAGCCTATGGCTGAGTTCCATAATTTTAGCCTAAAATCTTTACTTGCCTCGTGTGATTTCAATTTTACTTAAGCAATAAATAATATTCTTATATTTTTTTTGTAGTACATTCGCTTTGGTTAATTACTGATTTATAGGTCCGTTATATTCTTCCTGTTTAATATTGCATTTTTTTATTATAATTTATTTATTGTTGTTTCGATATTTATTTGTATGTCAAATGGTTATTTATTAGCTTTGTTTGATGTAAGTATTTTATTAGCAATTATTTATTTATCGTTCGATTATTACTTTGTTTGTTTCTTGTTTTTAGAAGTGGGATTTGTCTGATGACCTTTTTCCGTGTTCGGTGTTATCCGATTTGTTTCGGCCAAACTGAATAAATTTTAACAATGGTTTATTCAATTATTTGCTGTTATATAGAAGTTGAATAGTTAATAGTAAAGTAGTTTAACGTTCGTTAGAAAACCGAGCCCTGTACGTGGCGCTACCTGCTGGTAATGATAAACTCTCAAACAACTTCTTTTTTTAGGGCAGACAAAATCAACTTTATCTATACACGACATATAATAAAACAAAAAATAGTGTATTTAACCTTCTAAACAGAATTTTTAAAATTAGTGATATTGGATTCACTTAATAATAATTTATTGGAGCCATGAGGAGCGGTCGAGAATGATGTAGTTTAGAAACTTTTTTTTTTTTTTGCCGACGTTTCGATGTTTATTCGTGTCATTTTCAGCGCTTGGGTGAATTACAAAAGATATTTCGATTGAAAAAATACAATATAGATGTAAATATAAATGTGTGGTGATTAGTGACCGTTAATCGATAATTATTTAGAAATCGTGAGATGCGGTCTGGTGAGATGTAGGTTTCAGAAAAACATTTTCTTTATCTGCCAATATTTCGATCTTTATTGAGATCATCTTCAGGGCCTGGGATTTACGAATATTGTTTACATTTAACAAATACATTTTAGGTGTGGAAAAGTGAATTTATACAATACAAAATATATTTTTTATATATTCGATCAAAGTATTTATTACTATTAATAATAACTACTAATAGTATTTTATATAATATTAGTTACACAGAAGACAAACACTTTGAGTGAGTAGAAATACTTTGATTGTATATATAAAAAATATATTTTGCATTGCATAAATTCACTTTTCCACACCTAAAATGTATTTGTTAAATGTAAACAATGTTTGTAAATCCCAGGCCCTGAAGATGATCTCAATAAAGATCGAAACGTTGGCACGATAAAGAAAATGTTTTTNCAATTAATATCTTTCAATTAATTAAGGTTTTTAGTTGAGATAAAAAAGTCAGTGTCACGAGCGGGATTCGAACCCACGACCTTCGGCTTGATACGCCGCTGCTCTACCACTTGAGCTTTCGTGACCTCGATCCACTCGGACACCAACTTCCCATCTCAACCGCACCTTTTGAATTTGACTTTTTTATCTCAACTAAAAACCTTAATTAATTGAAAGATATTAATTTGTCAAACGGACCACGAAATTAGTGAATTTAATTCTACATTTATTTGTAAAATTCAAACAATGTTTATAAAACCCAGGCCCTGAAGATGATCTCAATAAAGATCGAAACGTTGGCAAGATAAAGAAAATGTTTTTCTATTACCCCCGTCTCACCATCTCCGAATAATAATTTTCTAAATTAGTTTAAATAAAGACAAAGTAAAGAAATAAGTGTCTATAGTATAATTTGGAAGTAAAATTTGAAACAAATGAACTTTTTGAACTAATATATTAATCCATATATGTCTAGCAGTCTTAAAGGACAGTATTATTTATAGTATATATTTAGTCTATGGTCTTGGTTGAGATGTTTTTGAACTAATTACTTGTCTTCTGTAAAAATTGTCTAAGAAAAATAATTTAATACAATTTTGTAAATAATTATTATATTCCATTTATGAGCACAGCAGTTTAAAAGTCGAACAGTACAATGAACATATAAATTGATTTATGACTGGGATTTTTGTTGGGATCCAATGAATTTTCAACCTAATTAGACAAGAAACACAAATGTTAAAACCAGATGTTAAAAATTCAATAATGCGTAGAATTTATCATAATCGGTGTAGAGAAAATCTCTCAGAAAAGAAAAACCTGGTTTTCCCTTTGGTCTCTGCGTAGTCTATTCATGTTCGTCTTAAAGTGTTTCTGCGCCTTTTCCATCCTTGGATTATCCGCCGGGACCGTGTTCGTCGAAGAGTGAGTATGAGCTCGTTGTGTTTTTGACGTTTTCTGATAAAATTTCCAAACGTGTGCCCAGCCTTTTGTACCCGGACTTCGAGCAGAGGCGGGTCGACATCGAAGACAGGTTGGCCTTCGCGGAGATACCATCGGAAAAGCGGGAAGTTTCCATCTCCCCTTTCGAAAAGAACGCTGAAGAATTCGGCGACGCGTACGACTATTTAGAAAACCTGGACGATGCTTATTTCAAAGAGCCCATATCTTACGACTCCTACGATGAAAGTTACAATCCTTACTTGAGAAAAACGAGACAGAAGGTTGGAAATTTAAAAAAAAAATGACTGTTTAAATATCCAAATTGTTAATTTCAGGCCGGCCAGATCGAAAGGTCCAGAATGGGGCGTCTACGCGACAAACTCTTCTCGAAGAGAAAACACAAAAATAAATTCAGCAGCTATAAAGGAAGTGTAAAAGATCAACCGTCTGCGAACTCGAACGATGAGAAAAAGGAAAACTTGTCCAAACCTCGACATTCCGACGTCATACCAGGTTTAAACGAAATAAGTATGTGAAAAGCATTAAACCCAGATTTAAATGCCAACATATTTTTACAAAAAGGAAACTGTTTTTACTACATTATGAGCGTTTTACATAGAATATACAGTTTTGTATGAGATACACAGCATAATAGGTAAACATCATCAAAATCAGTTTTAGAAAAAAATGTTTTAAATGATAAATTCTCTTCTTATTAGTCAGGAAACTAATTACACGCCAATTATGCAATTCATGTCGAGAGACATGGTTGTAGTACTCCTTCAAACTGATGATGAGTTAAAAGCTCGAAATCCCGATCCCTGAAAACAACTTCCTTATGTAGTAGGAACTATCATTAAAAAAAAGAAAAAAAGGATTTAATTACATGCCTTCAGTAAAAATTGCCTAAGAAAAATAATATAAATATTGTTATTTATTATTATATTTCATTTATGAGCATTGCAGTTTAAAAATTAAACGGTACCCATGCTTAATGATAAATAATATTTTAATTATTCAAATTGACAGTCATTTCAAAAGAGAACAGTTATGCTAAAATTCTCTTCTTATTAGTCAGGAAACTAATTACCTGCCGACAGCAAAAATTGCCCATGAAAAATAATAAAATAAAAAATGTTTTTAATGGCAAATAAAAGATTAATTATTCAAATAGACAACCACAGGTTCATTTCAAAATGGAAGGTACGCCAAATTTCTTCTTGTTAGTCAGGACACTAATTATCTGCCTTCGAAAAAAAATGTTTAAGAAAAATAATTCAATACAAATATTGTTATTTATTATTATATTTAATTTATAAGCACAGCAGTTTAAAAATTAAACGGTACAATGCTTAATGACAAATGATAGTTTAATTATTCAAATAGACGATCATTTCAAAATGGAACAGTTAGGTCAAAATTCTCTTCTTACAAGTCAGGACAATAATTACTTGCCGTCTGTAAAAATTGTCCATGAAAAATAATAAAATAAAAAATGTTTTAAATGACAAATAATGTTTAATTATTCAAACACACAGCGACATGTCCATTTCAAACTGGAACAGTTTGGCTAAATTTCTCTTCTTATTAGTCAGGGAACTAATTAACTGCCTTCAGCAAAAATTACCTAAGAAAAATAATTTAGTACAAATATTGTTATTTATTCCCATTATATTTCGTGGTCCGATCGACCAAACGACTTCTTTCAAGTAATTAATCTTTATGTAAGGTATTGGTTTAAATGAAAAATGGCAAAAAGGAGGGAAAATTCAAAAGGTGGGGTTGAGATGGAAGGTTGGTGTTCAAGTGGATCGAGGTCACGATAGCTCAAGTGGTAGAGCAGCGGCGTATTGAGCCGTAGGTCATGGGTTCGAATCCCGCTCGTGACACTGACATTTTTATCTCAACCATTACCTTACATAAATATTAATTAATTGAAAGAATTGTTATTTATTATTATATTTCATTTATGAGCACAGCAGTTTAAAAATTAAACGTTGCCATTTTAATGACAAATAATAGTTTAATTATTCGAATGGACAACCACAGGTTCATTTCAAAATGGAACAGTGAGGCTAAAATTCGCTTCTTGTTAGTCAGGAAACTAATTACCGGCCTCCAGTAAAAGTTACCTAAGAAAAATAATATAAATATTGTTATTTATTATTATATTTTTAATTTATGAGCACTGAAGTTTAAAAATTAAACGGTACAATGTTTAATGACAAATAATAGTTTAATTATTCAAATGGACAACCACAGGTTGATTTCAAAACGGAACAGTGAGGCTAAAATTTTCTTCTTATTAGGCAGGAAACTAATTACCTACCTCCAGTAAAAGTTACCTAAGAAAAATAATATAAATATTGTTATTTATTATTATATTTAATTTAGGAGCACTGAAGTTTAAAAATTAAACGGTACAATGCTTAATGATAAAAAATATTGTAATTATTCAAATAGAGTCATTTCAAAATAGAAAAGTTCGGCCAAAATTCTATTCTTATTAGTCAGGAAACTAATTAGCAAAAAAAAAAAAATTGCTTTAAAAAAAATTCAATACAAATATTGTTATTTATTATTATATTTCATTTATGAACACAGCAGTTTCAAAATTAAGCGTTACCATGTTTAATGACAAATAAGTTTAATTATTCAAGTAGACAACCACAAGTTCATTTCAGAATGGAAGAGCTAAGCCAAAATTCTCTTCTTATTAGTCAGGCCACTTTACAATGTAAATGTACGAGAAAACGTATATTAAATGATCCCGGAATTAAATAGAGGCATCTCGAGTATGCAGCTGAGGTGTGACATTGTGTGATTATCCGTGACGAGATAACCCGTCAGGAATGATGGGACAGGTATCCGACCGGACGGGCGGCCGGCATCGCCTTGTGATGACTCCATCAGGGGATCCGTCCGAGTCCAATCAGTCACCTCAAACCACAAAAAGGCTTCATCACCACCACAATCTACGAAGGAATCTTAGAATAATGCGTTTTAATCTGGAGGGAAAATCTCAGATGATTCATCGTCTCTGGGAGGCAAGGGAATGATAAATATACAAGCATTTATGTTAAATGTGGTAGTCGTGTGCTGTGAACATTTTTACAAAATGATTTATGAAGAAATTAAAGAAGGGTGTCAAAAAGTAAGCTTTTTTTAGCACGGTGAAATGAACGTCTACTACATTATACTAAGAATCCACTCTGTCCTATGCTTCCATCACATATTACTGTATTAGTTTGTTTTCTATTTAAACGTCCATCCATTCATATTAATTTATTTCAGATGCTCAAACAGCTCAATCAAGTATTTACCCATTTATGGTAGGAGCAATAATGTACATATATGCAGTTAATAAAAAGAAGAGGAATTTAAACAAAATTAAAAGAGAGAGAAAGAGAAAGAGAGAGAGAGAGATATTCATGAAAACTGAGATAAATTCATAAACAGTTAAATTGATAAATGAGTAGGTAAAAAAAACCTTAACATAGATGGATGGATGGACGCGTAGATAGTTCATAAAATAAGGACTAATATCTGTGACGGAATAAATAATATATTAAGCTAGTTTTTTGCTCATAAGAAAAGCTAATTTTACACAATTTTACAAAAAAGCTTACTCTACTAGTGCCCACTCTCAACACGACATACANGTGTGAAGTAGGTTTCAGAAAAACATTTTCTTTATCGTGCCAACGTTTCGATCTTTATTGAGATCATCTTCAGGGCTCAAAGTGTTTATTTTTTGCGTAGTGGGTGAGTTGGGCACTCTTAACACGACCCACAAGAATGGCACATCTGTGCAAAAAAAAAAACACTTTGAGCCCTGAAGATGATCTCAATAAAGATCGAAACGTTGGCACGATAAAGAAAATGTTTTTCTGAAACCTACTTCACACCAAACCGCATCTCATGATTTCCGAATAATCAATACATAAAGATTTGTCACACTTCCTCAAAGCCTTCATACTGTCTTATAAAATTAATTTTCTTAATAAAACTTGTAAAATTTTTTAGATGATTACAATTAAACTAAGAAATATCTTTATCTTATGAAAAAACAATTAATTTATTAAACAACCTAGCAATCTAATCTTCTAGCAAGACTTCACGTCTTGCAAAATTAGTGTTTTACAAACTTGCAAAAATTTTCGTCTCTTATTCTTCATCTTTTATTTCCAATCATACTTAGAAAAACTATTTTAACGAATTTAATTTAAATTAACAGTATGGAGGATTGAATTAAGGAGTTAGCGACCGATTTTTGGACCAAAAAAAACCTCCGAATAATCATCAACAAACGGTCACTAATCACCAAACAATTCTGTTTGTGTATTAAAGTACAAAAAAGAATTACTTATTACTTAATCTTAATTGGCTGATTTAGGTTATTTTGTAATAGATAAGGTACGACGGAGGTTCCAAAACTACTTATTAATCTAATATAATGATATTTATACTTTGCGTTTATTAATGATTCAATGTCAGTAGATATACTATAGTTTTCTAATCTTTCAGTTAAACTTTTTGTCTTTTTTAATGTTAGAACATTTCTTTTGCCATGTCTCTTATGATCCTATAGAAATAAGAATTTTTTGTAGATGAACGTCATGGAAATGTATGTTGGTTTGTTTGTATTTGATAGATTTGATGTAGTATTATTAGTAATTCACTAGCTTTCGTGGTCCGCTTGACCAATTAATATCTTTCAATTAATTACGGTTTTTAGTTGAGTTGTGTGTGGTGATTAGTGACCGTTAATCGATAATTATTTAGAAATCGTGAGATGCGGTCTGGTGTGATGTGGGTTTCAGAAAAACATTTTCTTTATCGTGCCAACGTTTCGATCTTTATTGAGATCATCTTCCGGGCCTGGGATTTACAAAAATTGTTTACATTTAACAAATATTTAGGATGTGGAAAAGTGAATTTATACAATGCAAAATATATTTTTTTATATATTCAATCAAAGTATTTCTACTCACTCAAAGTGTTTGTCTTCTGTGTAATTGTGCCATTCTTGCGTGTCGTGTTGACAGTGCCAATGAGATTTTGCTGTTTCCCTTCCCCACCCCTTCAAAATCCAACGTATATAAACATAAAATAGCAAAATCTCACTGGCACTCTCGACACGACACGCAAGAATGGCACAATTACACAGAAGACAGACACTTTGAGTGAACAGAAATACTTTGAGTGAATATAAAAAATATATTTTGCGTTGTATAAATTCACTTTTCCACATCGTAAATGTATTTGTTCAATGTAAACAATGTTTGTAAATCCCAGGCCCTGAAGATGATCTCAATAAAGATCGAAACGTTGGCACGATAAAGAAAAGTTTTTCTGAAACCTACATCACACCAGACCGCATCTCACGATTCCTGAATATTTGTTTTTAGTTGAGATAAAAAAGTCAGTGTCACGAGCAGGATTCGAACCCACGAGTCGTGTGGATCGAAGTCACGATAGCTCAGGTGGTAGAGTAGTTTTATCTCAACTAAAAAATTTAATTAATTGAAAGATATTAATTGGTCAAGCGGACCACGAAAACTAGTGAATTGAATAAGTTAAAATGATGTATATCTTCG